TATGCATGACCAAATAAAGAGAGAACAAAGCACATGTGAGGAAGAAGACAAAAGGAGGGCTGTTTTGTAAATAGAGATAGCATTATCCTTTAGGTTTTGAGTGTGTGGCTAGCATTATTTCTCAGCATATAAATACTTGTAAGAGCACACCATTTCTGTGTGTCAAAATTCCCAACATTTGCAGCAGCCGATTTTGGCCTTTTCAAGAAACAGTGAAAATCCTTTTAATTCTAATATCATGAATGTATTGATTTTCCAATATGGTATCAGAGCAGGATGATTTCATCCTGTTTCTGAGCACCATCCTTTTCTTTTTCTCTTCATCCTACATATTTCATTATCTCTTCCTCGATTTCCAAAAATTATTGCTTCCTGAAATATGAGCACATCAACCAACACCATGTCAACTGCCACAAGTAACAGCTCAGATCAAGTTGTTCAGCTGCAAAGCCAACTAATCACTGTAAAGTTGACAGATGCCAACTACCTGATCTAGCAACAACAAATCCTTGCGGCAGTAAGAGGCTATGGACTCATGGGTTATCTTGATGGCTCCTTCACAAAACCGATGGAGTTCTTACCCAGTGGATCTAATGAAGGTATCACTCAAAATCCTCTTTTCTCTATTTGGATGAGACAAGATCAATTGCTGGCATCTTGGTTGCTTTCATCACTTTCTGAGAGTGTTTTAATATCCACTGTTGGTCTCACTACTGCAAAAGAAATCTGGGAATCTTTGAAGATCACCTTTGCCAGCCAAAACCAGGCAAAGATAATGCAATATAAGTTGCAGCTTCAAACTGTTAAGAAAGGGAGTTTGTCTATGAGAGATTATCTGAGTAAGGTTAAGCAATATTGTGATCTTCTAGCCTCAGCAGGACAAAGGATAGATGAGACAGATCAGATAACACACATCATATCTGGCCTTGGATCTGAGTATAATGCTGTGATGGTTTCCCTTGCATCTAGATTTGAGCCATGTACTCTAAGAGAAGTTCACTCCATCCTCTTGAGTTTTGAGAGTAGACTTGAGGCTACAAAAGGATATACCACACACAATGAAGAAACTGGGTTTTCTGTAAACCTTGCATCACAGGGACACAACACAAACTTCAAGAGAGGAGGCTTTCAAGGTATGCAGAGAGGAAGAGGCTCAAATCAAGGATTCCATTCTAGAGGAAGAGGAAGACAAGGGAACTTCAGAGGTAGAGGAAGATCATTCAACAGTGGCAAAGTGAGGTGCCAGATTTGCCACTACAACAATCACACAGCTGAAAGATGTTACTTCAGAAGTGACTTGAACTTTGTGCCCAAGAACTTCAACTCATCTTCACAAGGAAGCTCACAGCAGTCAAGCATGAATCCTTCTGCCAACATGATGAACTTTGAAAGCTCAGAAACAGGATCAGACACCTACTGGTACCCAGATTCTGGTGCTACAAACCATCTCACATTTGACATGAACAACCTTAATAGTGCTGCAGACTACCAAGGGACAGAAATGGTTCAGATGGGTAATGGAAAAGGTTTGAATATTTCTCACTTTGGTAACTCTTACATTAGATCACCCTTTCACTCCTCCATAAACTTTACCCTAAAGAACTTACTTCATGTCCCTAAGATCACTAAAAATCTTATAAGTGTATCACAGTTTTGTAAGGATAACAATGTGTTCTTTGAATTTCACCCAAACTTTTGCATTGTGAAGGACCAGGAAACCAAAGAAATCCTCCTCAAGGGCAAGCTTGACAATGGCCTCAACAAATTTCACCTTGAAACCTGGAAAAACAACCTACCTTCTCAGCAACATCAACCACCTGCAGAGAACCTATCTTCTTTTTCAGCTTTCCTAAATAATAGACTAGATCTTGCTGTTTGGCACTCTAGGTTAGGACATGCCTCCTTGGATATTGTGAAAAGAGTTTTGAATCAATGTAACATCTCTTATTATGAGAGTGATGAAAAGACCTTATGCTTACCATGTTTGCAATCCAAGTCTCACAGACTTCCTTTTCTTATATCTGATGATAAGGAATATGGCTTATTTGATCTTGTGCATAGTGATCTATGGGGACCTGCACCATTGAAATCTGTGAATGGCTATGTTTATTATGTGAGTTTCATTGATCATGCATCAAGATTCACTTGGATCTATTTATTGAAACAAAAATCAGACACCTTGAATGCCTTCAAACACCTTGTTTCCCTTATCAATAACCAATTCTCTAAAAACATAAAAGTCCTTCAATCTGATGGTGGTGGAGAATTTAAGGCCATGTCATCTTTCCTTCTTGAAAATGGGATAGAACACAGGATCTCATGCCCTTACACCCCTCAGCAAAATGGGCTTGCTGAGAGGAAGCATAGACAGATTGTGGAGGTGGGGTTGTCTCTCCTTTCTAACTCTCATGTTCCCACCAAACACTGGGACAGTGCCTTCACTAGTGAAGTTTATATCCTAAATAGAACCCCATCAAAAGTCATTAATTATCAATCTCCATTTCAAGCTCTCACTGGAAACCTACCAGACTATAACCACCTCAAAACTTTTGGTTGTCTTGCTTACCCTT